TTATAAACTCTTCGTTTCAGGTATCCCCAAAGGAAGAAATCAAGGCGATTCATATCCGGTGAACGTGCCGGCCACTCCATTGGTCCTCCCCGACCAATCCATCGATGACCGAATGTGTCGTCCAGGAACTGACGCACGGTTTGTGCTGAATGGGCCGGTGCACCATCCTGCTGCCACCAAACCGTACTCAACAGTCCTTCCACATGCAACCGCGGAATCACCCACGTCTGCAACATTTTTTTGTATGAAGAGGCTAAGAAGTGTGATGTATTAGTTCTGCTACACAACTTACCCGTCACATTTTGAGAAAAGAAGAAAGGTCCGATGATTGTTCGACTTGTTAGTCCAGCCCAGGCCATGAGCTGTGTGCCATGTTGCACACGGGAAGCGATGCATTGCCGTGGCTTATTGGTGGCCCAAACATGCCGCTTCTGTGTACCATGCAGACGGAAAATGGCCTTATCGGTAAATATGATGGAATGCACGTCCAAGGTATTCAGGTACAAGCGAGCGAATGCAAGACGATTCACCGAATCGTCAGGCTTTAACACTTGTACCTGCAATGCACCATACCTTCGGAATTTTCTTTCCTTCAATATCCGGTGCACAGCATAGGGTGTATTGGTGTTGTTGTCGAAGAGGTTCGTTGAAATAGTCATCTCAGCATTCGGAGAATCGCCCAACACTGCCTACTTTGCAAAATCTGGCCTCTTTAGGGCGAAGCGGAGCGCACTTCATTGTTTCAACCTACCTGGTATGCTTTTCGTCCACTTAAGGATGGCCTAGCCACTGATCTCACTGCGATTTGACACATGTTGGCCAGCGTCGTTTGTCGATTGACGAAGGTTTTGAGTATGCTAATACTTCCCATCGCATCATGTACGCGCTATGTTGACCTATTCAACAGTGGACAAGGAACTCTGGTACTTTTCTTAGCAATTTACCTCTCTTTTTGTATGGTAAATTACTACCTCCGCACTGAATATCTTCCTTATTATACTTGGTTCCACGATATAATCACACCCGAAAATTGCGCACCGAAATAAGTGTGCACACAGAAATATGTACACGGAAATATGCTCGTTCGATCGCTTGACATTAACGCGACTACGTGCTAAAATCTCCGTGATTTGTTCGGCATATTCAACAAACAGAGCCCTCATCGCCAACTGCAATCTACGGCAGTCTCAGTGATTCGGTTTATTTCTGTAACACTACGTAAATATAAGGATAACAGTTGTCTACCTCTGCATGCCGGGTATAGAATTGATAACACATACTGGAAATTTTAGCATTGCTCCCATCTCCGTAGATTGTGCCTTTACTCAATGCATGTATCAGTTCTTTAATGCCAAAAGTTCTGTCTGGATCATCATCCACGCTTGAATCATGAAGCACCACTTCGCAGTGCTTCTCAGAAAACCAAAATGTATGGTTTTGAACATGGTAAGTGTTGCCGGCCCGTCAAATATCCCCGCAAAAACGCGCCAGAAACTCCGACATAATGGCTGTGGAAAGCGAGGTCCAATTCCTCCCCACAACGTAGCAGTGTTCAGCCACTTCGAGACGCGGCCCAACTGCGCATCTGTTGACAATGTTCTTTTACAAACTACCACCCCGTCGTGGTAGCAATTTTTCCTAACTGAATGACCCATTGCATTGGCTGTGAATCGCCATTTGTTAGTCGTAATAGTGGCTTCAGAGGACCACTTGCCTTTCTTCCTCTTCGCCTTAGTTGGGAGTCTGTCGGTCACGTGACTTTGTGTGCGTCGTTATCCGGGCAGCGTTCCCGTCTAAATCACTAGCGCGCGTTCACCGTAACCCCCTCTCGTGTGCGTCCGTTCCGAGGGCTCAGCGTCTACCCGAATACGTGCGGCTAGGATCGTTCTCACGCTCGCTCAATTTCCATCTCATCAGCGCGTACCCCGGCTAAGCTAACGTCATCAGGTCAGCGGAAATCTGTTCGATTGGGCAGGGTGCCAGGCCGTTACCGTAAGCGTGCTCCAACCGTGTAAGTGACAATCTTATCAGGCGTTCCCTCAATTATAACATTAAGTGACCGGTTTTATTGTAGTTTAGAAGCGTTCTCGCAAGGGGGATAATTGCTTGGGCGTATGCCGCATTACTTCGTTACTCAATGTTTACAACACATTTCCTATCACAGTGCGAGGTGTGTAGCACTAGCGACTCTCATGTCTAGCGTCATTTAGCTTCTGGAAGCCTTGGTTTCTGCTTTCTGAAGACATGAGTCCTGACAATGTGCGTTCGGTTGTTGTAAGACCATGTCGTCTCTAGTGTTCATCAGTGAGTGACACCTTCCAGATCGATTATGTCTACATTTCCAAGTAACGTTTCCATCCGTAGCGGGAAAAGCAAGGTATTCAAACCACAAGAAAGTCAGAATTCGGTTGATCTTCCGACTACCTGAATACTGCATTGATAACGCTTCAAAAAGTATAGCAATAAGTATTAAAGTTTACTGCACAGTATTGTTTTGCAAATCAACTAAGTGTCGCATGCAATCTTTTATCGTCACAAATTTCAAAACAATGAAAAGGAACAACGTTTCAATTCTGCTTCCTGGAATCAGCCATTTTACGGGCTCTGGTCAACGATTTACATACAACTTGTGGATTAATTCGAATACAAGCATAGACAATCAAAAAGTAATGTCACTGGGTAAACACTGTCGATCGATGGTCATTTGATGCCTGTCAGTCCCATTCTGTGGGATGCGTTCACCAACCACACCAAGACTAGCAGTGAACTCGTTCGGTTCACGTCAAGTACGTTCGAGCCGCCGAATCGCCGAAGCTTTGGCAAACTGCAGTCGGCGATCAGCGCCCTGTCTGTTGAGTGCTGTGAATGAATCACGAAGGCTTTGGTACGTAAGGCAGTTATGTGCTAGGGGATCGAATCAGCATATTTCCATGTGCGCATATTTATGCCCAAGCGCATTTATCGTGTCTGTTTTTTTCCGGTCTCCATTGCACTCAAATATGACAGAAGTCACGCTTTCTCTGTCGCGTTGACTGGCTATTATTTCAAGCCTCAGTGATGAAGAGCGTGTTAACATCATTAGGTATCGCGCGCAGCCACCAACCATTTTCTCCATCATAATGTTATTCATGACGGATTGTGTAAGTTTCAAGTAGACATCTGGATTCCAACACACTCTATGAAACCTAATGGTCTGTCATCGGTGAAGTGATTCGATCATCTGTACCGTATTCCGGATTCATTTGCTTTCATTTTTTTGCAGTTTTGTTTGATGCGTGAGATTAGACTGCATTGTCGATTGTGTTGATTAAAACCTGTTACCTAGATAAGTGACTTATTCCCAATGCCGTGATAATAGTCTTCTGGCCACATGGTTGATTTAGGAAATTTTCTATCCCAGCGCTTTTTTCAAATTACGAACAGAACTGAGCCCTTTCATAATTGATTGTACTCCGGCTTGTTTTTCTACTATCACTGAATTTTCATACAACAGCTGGGACAATATGTATTGTCGTTTTCACATTAATACGAATAACAGGTATTTTTCTCTTTGTGTGAGATATGTATATATTGCTACAGTATATGAATAGACATAGAGCCATCAGAAACCATGCAACACAAAAGAAGGTACAGAAGTTGTAAAAGAAAACACAACACAACACATTAAAATCATGGTCTCGTCAGAGGGCGTGATACTACCCGGTTGCCCAAGCCGAAGTATTGTGTTGACTTAGGGGGACACCATCCCGAGCCTTTGGCTGAATAGCTTGTCCGCCAGGCAGCGGAGCGAATTCAGGGAATCGCGCCCATTGGGTGCCGGGGACTGATTTCTCAGTGCATACTCCTTCCGTTTGTTCCTTTGTCAAACCGGGGTCCAATGCACCCCAGAATTACAACACAAAGTTGCTAAAATCCAATGCTTAGCTAGGATGAAGTAAGGGGCAGTGACTTTATTTAGTGGCGCGTCACGTCCGCCACGTCACTGTGTTGGTAAATGGACATATGTGGCTTTTTATAGGGAGAACGCTTGCCAGGCGAAAACCCACCACGTCCTGGAACACTGCCGCCGAACCATTTGCTGGAACGGGAAAATCCCGAACCACCCAGCTGGCACCACGAGGCGATTGTTCGGTAAGCCAGCCCTTTGGGTGAGAAGCTGCGTCCTTATCTGGCACAGATCGTATATCTACAAGTAGCACTATACTCTTGCATGAGCAATATTAAGTTGTAACGGATAAAACAGTAACGGTATATTTCTCGTCAGTTCTTGATCTACAGCAGAATCGCAGAGAGTAGTTGTTTTCTTCATCAAAATTCCAAAGCAGTTTCCCAACTATTTTTGGCTAATTGATCGGTTAAATCTTTCGGGGTTATTAAGAGGTTATCAAAAATAGTTATTGTAGATATATACAACTATGTAAGTGAAATAATATGGCCATCCATGAAAACTTCTCCTGGGGACCTGCGTCTATACGGATTATATTCCCTCGATGGGTTTCACTCGCACTTTCATGCTCCATCCGTGCTGGTGTGGCTTTTAATTCAGGTAAGCCACCACCTATGTGACTCATCTTTACGTCTGTTTTCCTGCACCATCAATCCATTATTTTGCGTCAAGCGCTTTTTTCTCGCCAGGGAACTAATGACAATGCGCCTTGCATGGGTACAATGATTAGCTTCAATAAAAAGCTTCAATCCATCATCTCAGGAGCTCAACCCAGTCGTAGCCAACAATAAAACACCTTGCACACTCTTTCTGCTGTTCTACTTCGGTGTATTATTTTAGATCACTCCTTTGCTATATGTTCCACTCTCTAACATCAATCCATCCATCTGCGTATCTACCTGTCCGTCTTCCACGTACCTGTCTGTCTACCCGTCTGTCTGTCTGTCTGTCTGTTTATCTATCCGTCTGTCCTTCTCTTGATCCTTTCATCCTCCTGTCTACTTGATGTTAGTATCCGAGTTCGCATCTTACTAATTATCCTTTGTCACTTCAGGCACCGGAGGTCATTCGAATGCAGGGCGATACTCCGTACACAAATCTCTCGGATGTGTACGCCTTTGGTATCGTCCTGTACGAATTGATAACCGGCCAGTTACCGTATACCCGTCACAACAATCGAGACCAGATCCTCTTTTTGGTCGGTCGTGGTCTCCTCAAGCCGGACTTCTCTGAAGCTCGGCCGGACGCATCACCGCAGCTGCGACGCCTTGCGATGGACTGTTGCAGTTTTGAACGTGACGATAGACCTCCTTTCTCCCAAGTACGTAGTCACTGTTTCTTTCGGACTTTATGGTCATCTACTCTCTGAAACGCCCACAGCACTTGCATATGGGCCCGATCCTGTTGCTGTTCCCTTCAGAAAGTTCGCTTTGCCTGTCGGGCTAGCGTCACTGGCTTGGGTCAGCATGCAACCGCTTTTTAGGTCACTCCAAAGTTATTTGATAATCTTTCGCTTACCTTTGAGAGTTTTATGCGCATTTTCTTAAGGTGTCCTTGACAAAGTTGCCCACTTGTATTTTAGACACACTTCTCTTCACTTATATTACTGACTCCCTCCACAGTGTGGATTGATTTCTCTGCGTTTCATATGCTTTTGTCTCTTTTTACTTTTTTAGAGTACGCAGTCTGGTCTTCTTTATTGCCGTCGATTGCACTGCTTGAACTGCGTTTCTAACTGGCGATTCTGTCTTCAAATAGGGTGTACGATTATAAATGAGCAACTCATCCAAAATCTTACTCATTACTAATAGATGTACGGTTTATTTGAGTGTGGTTCGTCGCAATCAACTCTTAGCCAGACAGCCTCCCACTATCCGTGACCCCTTCATCCTGTTAGGACTCGTCGGTTTCGCCCATCCTCCGGTCCCACCAGGAACCGCACCCATGACTTTGCGCGACGCCAACGGCTTATGCAACAAAAGTCATTAGTGATGGCGGTAAACTAGGACTGCTGGGCGACAGCGGCGAGTCGTATTTACTTGTGCTCGGAATACCTACTCATTAGTAATATATTGGGCAGCGCACTGGGATTTTCGTGCTGCTCCGTCGCAACATGACTGGACCTAAACGTTGTGGGACGGTTTGCGTACCTCCTTGACCCATTGAGCTATACTGGGTGGTGCCTCTGGGCACCTTGAGAGCTACTCCTACCAGGTTGTTCAATGGTTAAATGTCAGCCAAACTCAATCTCCTGGTCTTCCTGCTTTGGGTTTGAATTTGGATGGCATCCATTTTTGTAAAACTGAGTTTTTTTGCCACCTCCCCGCTGCCTTGCGGACCGGCTTTTGAGCCAAAAACTTTGGTTGAGGACACTTATTGTCTTCCTCTCTAGGTCTGAGTGCGCTGACAGTATCTCTGCACACATAAACCATGACAATTTTCATTGGTTCCTGCTGCTCATTTTTCACAAAACTGTATTCTCGTGCATGTACGCCTTCGAGGTTGAATGAATAAATCCTACTGAATGGAAAGGTTTGTTATTCCCAAAGGTTTGTTATGTGTGTATGTTTGCTAGGATACGCAGCCAAAATGTTTGATGACGCGTTAGCGAGTTTCCACGTTCATTGTAAGCGGTCTGGTAGGAAGTTGGATTTTGCACAGTTACTTTTTTTCCTAGGACGGTGGCCGCCGAGTGGTCTGCGCGCATGGCTTTCAATCATCGGATCACCGGTTCGAATCCGCAATAGGGCGTTCGTCCTCGCGGTATGCTCAACCCACGCGCGACTGGTAGTGGTCTCACGGCAGCGAAGCGCTGCTAGGGCGTACAGCTGGCGGATTAGCATACGCTGGAGACGACGAGGAACGATGTGCAGCGGTTTGCTGGTTATTGACACAAGCGGTTTGTGTTCGGTATGCACCGTTGTCTTTCTTCCGAAAGTATAATCGTTGAAACACTTCGTGTCATAGACTATCGCGAGCATCTCCTTCTCTATCTGCGCATAGCACTGCTCGGTCACTGTGAGTGCTCGACTGCGGAAATCCAAAGGTTTTCCATTCTGTAAGAGACCAGCACCTATTCCGTCTTGGCTACTGTCACACTTCACCTCCAGGGGCTGCGCTGGATCGTAATAACCTAGTACAGACGCGTTGCTGATGAGGTGCTTACTAGTTTCGAATACGGTTTCCCGTGGTTTTCCCCAACTCCACTTTACTCCGTTGTGAGTTAACTTCCTGATGGGCGTCATGATATCAGCAAGCGTTGGCATAAAACGGCTCAAATAAATCACCATGCCGTTTAAGCGATGGATTCTCTTCACGTCCTTAGTGGATGACGTCTCTCGTATTGCCTTGATTTTTCCTGTATCGACCCGGATCCCTTTGGTAGTTACCACATGCCCATGGAAAATCACCTCATCTTTCCGAAGCTCAATTTCCTCGCGTTTAAGCTTGATGTTCTTTTGCACACAACGCTGCAAGAAACGGTGAAGATTGGCGTCATGCTGTTCTTCCGTCGGGCCATAGATTAAAACACCGTCTGCCACAAATGTTACACTATCTAAATCGTCTAGCGATTACACCAATCGTTTTTGGGAAGTTTCATTCGACACTTTCAAAGCAAACGGTAAACGCAGCCAGCGATAACGCCCGAACAGTGTTGCAAATGTAGTCAGGAAACTAGATTCATCCTCTAGAACCACGTGCCAGAATGCCGATGAGAGGTCTACCTTCGTGATGCACTTAGTTTTGGTCAGAGGCGGCAAAATGTCTTCTAGAGTAGATAGTGCGTAATACGCTCTACGCAAGGCCTCATTCAACGGTTTCTGATCAATCCACACGCGCAGTGCGCCCGTCTTCTTCGTAATGATTGCGACCTGATTAACCCATTCGGTTTGCTCGTCAACTTTGGCAATCACACACTCTCTCACTAATTTGCTCAACTGGGCGCAGAACTTGTCTCGCAGTGCAAATGGAACTCTTTTAGCCAGTAGCGCTGTCGGTCGTATCAAATGATCTACGGATAACTGAGCGGTTCCCTCAAATTTCCCAAAACGTAGGATTAACACAGACGGATACTGATCACTAATTTCGGTTTCTCCATGGCAAGCATGCACGAAACGATCATGATTAAAAACGACAAAACCGAGAGACTGGGTCGAATCAATGACCGGAATCGGTGTGAGCTCCTTCTGCACCATCACAAACCAGTCGATATGAGACTGTCCCTTGGGTTAACCACTTCGATTGTAGCCAAGCTCTTCGGATGAAGTCTGGAACCATTCCACATGCGCAGGCAATCTTGATCAGATCGGATACACACTCCGGGACAATGCTTCCTTGGTAAAATGTTGACAGTAACACCTGTGTCTAACTGGAATCGTACGGCTTTGTCTTCGATCAACAGACTTGCGTAGACACATTTTTCGCGGTACCCTCCGAGACCCTTTGCCAGTTGCACGTTCTGCACCTGCGTGTGACTTATCAAGAACGTCCGCATTCACATTGGTTCATTGGCAACAACGAGCATAGTGACTTTTTCCACATTCGGCGCATTTCCGTCCGTACGTTGGACACTGTTCGCGGGAGCTCGAGTGTCACGCGGCGCAAAATCTGCAGATCCCCTGTCTCACGGTAATAGACTTCGCTGCTCCGCCTCTGGAAACGCCACAAAATTCTGCAGCTGTTGTGAGCTTGCTTTGCTGGTATTGATAGGTGGTCGAGGATTCATGTGGCAGATATCGATGTACTACTGTAGTGATTAGTTGCGTTGTCGCAAAAGTCACTTTGTCGTACTTTCATCATTGCTTCCCAGAACGATCCAAACGTGTATCAGATTGTCTCCCAAGCATTTACAGAATTTGCGGGATCGGCCCAAAATCTGCAATTCCGTGATGTACGCTTCGACGGATTCGTTTAGGCCTCTGTTGTACGATAAGAAGAGATAGCGCTGGTAGGTTTGACCTACACAAAATTCACTGAACTTTTCAATGACCGTTTCCAGATTATTTGGATCTTTGCCTCTGTCATAGTGCAATGTCTCTATAACACGGCGCGCGTCATCCCCTGCTGCGTGTCGAAACATGGTCAACCGATACGCCATCGCTTCCAAACGCACTAATATGCAGAAATCCAGTCATTTTCTCCTCTATAGACGCCAATTATTCCGTTCACCCATGTTCAATTGGGCAGGCATTTGAGTAGACGCTGGTGATCCGAACAGCATCCGGGCGCCGCCGGTTGGGTTAGTCTTTGTCTTCTCTGACGCCATGTTGCAGAACTCAGTCCTTCAGGGACAAGCGTTTGATCGGCAAAGACAACTCGGCGAAAATGTGGCACGTTTGGCAAGCCAAAGTTCTCGATATAAGTTGCGCCTTCACGTCCACAACTAACGACCCTTATGAGGCAATGAGGTACTTCCTTTGACTCAGTTAAACAAACAATGAGTAATTCACATGAATGTCGGCCAATCTATGTGCAGCAATCAAATCAGTTACGCCCGTCGACCATTGGCCATCTGGCCCTCTCGGTTGGTCCACCAGTTCACTCTAGTATGACACTCCCATCACATAGCTGACGTGTGTTTCTCACCCTTAACTAATGTGTATTGATGATGATAATATACCTCTCAACTTGGCTACTTGCGGTGACAACGCTTTGATCCATCCAGCGGTTTCGTTCCGGCTGTTTCAACAGCGTGGACTTAGTGCATCGGTACAGCTACCTTCTCATTCGTCATCTATTTTGTGTCTGTAGAGAAACTACCCTTTTGTCCATTCTGGTTTGTAATCATAGACTTCATTGGCATACATTCGAGTCAAATCGGTATGTCATAAATGGCCTGCGGAAATTCAGAAGAGTGTCAACTCTCCTTGTATCAATTATCATAGGTACATTTTATCATGTGACACTAAGGTGAATCATAACTGATCGCCTGTGCTTCATCGTCTTCAGGTCTTTGATCAGCTGGCTGGCGGTGGTTGGGAGTCGAGTTTTATTTCTTGTAACTCACTGAATTCATCATCCTTTTTGTGCGTTCACTTCGTTTGCAGATTGGATGCATCAATAAATAAATCAATAAGTTTCGATTTGGTTCCTCGCAAGTAAATTCCAAGCCGCAATGGTAAGCTGTCAATCCGGAAAGCATGAGACGCGCGTTTCGCCGTATTGGGGCTCGTCTGTGGTGCGCCTCCTTCGGCCCCCTACTGAGAATCTAACTCAGTAATCAGAATCTAAGCCCTACCAGTCTTCAAGATGCTGTGTGGATTTACGGCGCTGACAATGAATGTCTTGACCCGGTCCACCAACCACTGTCCTCTACACCTGCAGTAACCTGCATGTTGGTGGAGGACGGGTCGGACTACATCTCAGGTTTCAATCCGTGATGGTCGACTGCTATCCCCAATGCTTCAGTGGCATAAACTGCTGGCTAGTTGGCGTTAGCCTCTAGCGGTCATGGGTTCGACCCCCAGTAGGGGACCGATGGATGCGCACCACTGAGGAGCCCCCTAAGGCGGAACCTGCGTCTATTGCTTTTCCGGATCGATAGCTTACCTATGCGGCTTGGAATCTAATTGCGATGAACCAAATCAAACCACAAGCAAATCCGTCTACTCGTTGTTTATCAAAATCAATTAGTTGTCTATTCTTCAACAATGCGGGAAAATGTTTCCTAAAAGCGACAGATTGTTACAATCTTTTCATGTCATTGCATAGATAATTTAGAAAGACAGGAGCAACAAATTTAACTTTATGTGACGCTAATTGACCTGAATAGTTTTGCTGGTTTTCGACCTGTTGAGGAACCAATCTTCTACACAAACTCATGACGGATGTTCGAGCCGAGACGTCATCGCCATTATACACGTCAGCTAGAGGTGAAAAACACTTCAGCTACTGTACCGCAATACATAAAGGAAAGTAAATACAACAGTTGCAGGCCAGCTGAACTACCAGCAACGGATAGGCATCGTTCCGGTAGACTAACAGCCGGATATTAGGCAAAAAGAAAAATTATTATGTTTTACGCTACGAAATGAGATCGTAGATGGAGGGGAGGCTAAATGGGATGGGGAGGGACAAAGAAACTCACAGCAGGAACGCCACTGAGGTCGGCTCCTTGCCATGTCAGCAAGTGTATCCAGCCAAACGTGTTCACCGTCTTTTAGACCCCAACTAGAGAGCCGTGACGCTCCAACCGAGGCCAACTTCGAAATGAGGGCCTTCATTCCTCTGGACCAAGTCATCGTTTGGCCACCCCTCCTCTTCTTCCATCCACATCCCCGATGAGCAAACAACGCACGTCGAGGGAGTCGGTGGGCTGGCATGCGCAACACGTGGCCCAGCCATCGTAGCCTGGTGCGTGAAATAACGGTGCTGAGCGGTTCTGATCCTTTTCCTGTGCCGTAAACAAGGCGTTGAACACGCTCGTTACTCATGCGGTGTTGCCACCATGTGTGAGCCAAACTGCGAAGGCAATAGTGTTCGAATTTAACTAGCCTCTTCATGTCCGCCGATCAAAGGGGCCAGGTTTCTCAACGGTACAGTAACGTTGAACGTACCGCTGCATTGTACACTCTACCCTTCAGGACGAGAGTGATGTCGCGCTGAAGGTGCTCTGAAGTTGCAAAATTGCACCACCCAGCGTAGCTCAATGGATCGCTGAGGCACACAAACCATCGCACCACGGTAAGATCCAGCCTCATTGCAATGGCGAGCCGGGAAGAATATGAGACGAAAGGTGGTCTTGGCAAAACGTTAGATATTGGTGTTCATTTACTCCGTGTACAATGGTTTTTGTTTCTTAATTTAGTCTTCGCTACCGATATCTTTCTCGAAAGCATTGTCAATGGCTTGTTGTCTTAATAACACGCTTTCGTCGGTTAACTGCCCACAAATCGCAAGCTTAAACTTACGCATTGTACAACATGTTACAATATCTTGTAAGTCTGTTCCAATTTTTCATGTAGAAGACTAGGGAAAATGATCTCGGATTCTCCTAGTGAATTTTGGAATCATGTCTTTTATCTCTTTTTTGCGGATCGGGTATATACCGTTTAGACATGTGATGATTTATAACTTTTGAAAACTTCGGCTTCATTCCCCGAAGTCAGACTGTGTGAAACGCAAGCTTTTCGCAACACTCTCTAAATCATCTTTGCATAATAACCGCATAGCATTTTTGTGGATGAAATGGTTACCACTGTCCACGCATGAATACCCATGCATCGATCAATTCCGCACGACGCAGTTGATGGCATCACCTGACTTACCATCAGTGTAACCACCTTCGCCACGGTCATCAGAGTGCGAATTGGAATGCTTAGACTCAGGCGAATGCCGCTGCGACCACAACTTTTGGCTTGCATGATGATACTTGTAGCCATCACTGTTAGTGATTGTATGCTCACTCCTCTTGATAGCCACATGTTGTAATTGTCACCGCTTTTGTCGCGACCGCCAGCACAAATATTGTAACGCCTTTACTTGGTACGATTTCCTTAGTAGAATTGGGAGATTCGTCAACCTTTGTGCACTGGGGCTCTTGTGGGAGAGTAGTTGATAGCCAGTTGTGCAGGTCACTATCGGTCAGGAGTTACATTCCCTGAAGGGGACCGAGGAATTGCGTACCACTGACTATCCTCAACGGGGTCAGGCGATCGTCTGATTTTTTCCGGATTTTTATTTGATTTATTTGGCTTGCACTCTCGTTGCAGTCAACTAAATAAAGCCTTTCAAATTCTTCTACACATAAGTGTTCCTTTTCGGATTGTCTCGCTTTGTGAGAGTTAGTCACCAGACGTTTTTATCTCGTTGAACCTAGGCGAACACCGACTCAGCACCATTACCCGAGATCAAAAATAGAATAACCTTCAGCTGGAGCTCGTATACACAGACTTTTCCAAAGACAACAGAAGTGCTGCACACCTTAGTAATTTTTTCTTCATCGCAATCAGCCGACAATTCAGTTAAGTCAACTACCTATCCGGAAAAAGCCTCAGACGGCCGTTTCGCCCTATTGGGGCTCATCAGTGGTGCGCATCCTTCAGTCCTCTGTGTAGGATCGAACCCATGACAGCTAGTGGCTTGTGCCAACTAGCCCGCAGCTTATGCAACTGCGCCATGGAGGACGGTATCTGACCATCGCGAATTGCTAGCTAGTTGGCAAGAGCCACTAGCAACCATGGGTTCGATTCACCACAGAGGACCGAAGAATGCGCACCGCTGATGAGCTCTAATAGGGCAAAACGGCCGTCTGGTGCTTTTCCGGATAGCTAGTTGACTTATCTGAATTGTTGACTGATTGCGACGAACAAAAATGCTCACCAACATCCTTCCACTCATAAGTAATACAAATTCGCCCTTACGGATTCCATAAAATGCTATGTCGATTCATTGCTACCGCAACCGGGAAGTCCTGACGCCGGAAGGCCAACCGCTGTCATCTGCATGGCAGTGGAGGATGGGTCGGGCTATATCGCAGTTAGCTAACAATTCGTGTTGGTCGGCTACCGTCCTCCATGACGCAGTTGCATAAGCTGCGGGCTAGTTGGCACAAGCCACTAGCCGTCATGGGTTCGATCCTCCGCAGAAGACCGAAGGATGCGCACCACTGATGAGCCCCAATAGGGCGAAATGGCCGTCTGGGGCTTTTCCGGATAGGTAGTTGACTTAACTGAATTGTCGGCTGATTGCGACGAACAAAAATACTCACCAAAATCCTTCCACTCATAAGTAATATCTTAGTATTTATAACACGGTTAGACTCGTTATCGGAGTGTGGTGTAAGTGTCACATAGGTGTTTTTTCGATATGCGTACTTGCCACCCGATAGTGTGGTTTTACTCAGGGGATCACGCGGTGTCTGGGAGATGATGGGTATTTACCACTTATAACTCGTTGCGTAAACATGGTACGGTAACATTATGACGGAACTAGAGATTGAGGTAAAGCATACAATGCGAAGTTTTTGTGTAACTGCGAAATCTCCACAATAGCTTGATGGATGTGATTCCGGCATGAAGAACGCAACGGTCCAATCACCGTTGTACTTGGGGTTCGCATGTTTTCTCCTGTTTTGCAACATCGTACGCTCCTATACCATGGGATATGAACCGAATCCGGAACTAGTCATTGCCCTGCCCAACGTGGTTTCACGTGTTCTTTTTTCGGCTTTTTACACTATATGGGGATGTGTGGATGGACCTGTGGAAGCAAGCCACTAATGACCCCTCTGTCTTCGTGGGCATCTCATGGTTATCCAAAGTCCTTTGGGACTTCGTCAAGCCTGGGACAAAAAATCTCCATAAGCTGACAACTCAGTGGACTGGACCAAAGTGGTCAACACAGAAAAGTTGTTATCATATGATGGTCCTGCGCATAAACTTAGCGTGCCTTAGTTTCCTGTTGGAGTAGTATAGAATAAAATTTATCTTCACATGCATCCTCTCTCGAATATGTTGGTTGGCAACACATTTAAATCATCTATTATCATAATACATCAAAACGCAATGTAGTTTCTCCAAAGTTAGATAATTTTTTGAAAAAAAGTCATTCCTTTTCTTCTTTTTACTCTTACCACAAACGGAACTGAACAGGTTGTCTCGGAACCGATGAATCGACGGTTGGACAGGCACTTTTCCATCTGATTACGATTTGTATAATGCGCGTGTGCATGTTCTCAAAGGGGGTAGGCTTGATTCGTGCCTGTGTATACGGGCGGGTGTGGAAATGGTTCACACAAAATGGTTAACGCCAATCTGCGTGTATATTCGTATCTGTGAGGACATTGTGTGCAAGGTAAAAGCATCCATGCGCGTAGACACTGAAGGGTGGGATAAAATGTCTTCGCATATACGGAGAATATACTGTATCGTCAAACGTCTGCGGAACTGTTTAGCGCAGTGCTTATGGGCCAAGAGAATTTCACACAGCAAAATCCCATAACATGCACATTCTTCTGTGAACAAACGAGTCGTTTGGCCATCATTGTACAGTAAACCTTCACATACTCTAATTATAGAGGTCAGATCAATAATGACTAATACACCCCAAAGAGGGGGGCCAACATACCACTTACAGAAGTGGTCAGCATACTGAAGTCTGGTTCCATAGGGTTTTACCTGGTGATTGTTTAAGCTATGACAAATGGCCACCTTTGAGAAGTGATCAGCATGTAGGGGTGATCGGATTTGATGGTCTTACTGTACCGATGACTATGGTAGCAGGTATATCGTCACTTGTGTTGACTTATTTTCTGCTTAACTTTTGTCTTGCATTTAAAGTAAACAGATTTCATTCATCTATTTTTGTGTCTCTTCATAGATCCACCAGCGTTTGGACAGCTTATACCAATCCATGCCTAAGTTGCATCGATGTCTCTCTGAACCAAGTGTTGGTGTTGGTCGGTTCGAACGCATAGATACACATGAATTGACCGCCTGTTTGAACATGTCTCCAAAGACCCCCCTAAATTCTGCGTTAGAGGACAATCTGTTTTTCTTCTCCAACCACGATCAAGCGGTCTCCGGCATGAGCAACTGTCCGGACGACGGTCGCATCGGATTCAATGAAGTACCACCCCCGGAGACTGTATCAGATGTTGCTTGATTTCTTGTACCGCACTGCTTGTTCCTTACCTCTTCATCACATTTCCCATCGCTGTCTGTGATCTGATCATTATTATTATTATTGTATTTCCACACCTCTTTTTTGCTACTTCAAATAATCTACATTATGTTTCCATCTTTTCCCTCCCCTCGGTGTGATGTACAAGATTGTACGTGTCACACTATTTGCCAAGGAGGTCTGATGGATTTAGCATACTCGATTACATGGGATGAAGCATCCATCCGCACGCATTTACTAATGGGTGGGGATACCAGGCTGTATCTCTTCCCCGATGGAACATTGTGAGCTCTCTCTGCTCGACAGTAGGTGATAAAGGAACACTACACATATTTTGGACACAATCGAGTCACTGATAAGTGGGATGATTTTTTAGATGAAAGGTAACTGGTTCGTCTCAGTTACGCTATAACCTTGTTAGTTTGCAACTTGCGTTGGTCTACCACCATCCACCGTAGCACAGGGGCGTAAGCTGCCAACAGTCACGGGTTCTGTTCCCCACAGGCCATTGGGAGAATGTGCGACAATAGGGCTAAACGATCGTATGGTGCTTTTCCGATTTGGTCTTGGGATTGTCGTGTTTGTGAACTGCTGGGACGAATCGGTTAACATTTAGGTCAGTCGGTTGCGTTCCATTCTGTCCATCACAGCTATACGTAACAACCGCTTCAGGTCAACAGATATGAAGCACTGGTTTAGCACTGGCTACACGTTCAAGGACGATCAACAAGGCAGGGAAACATTTACGAATCCCATAAACACAGCTAAACCTGCGCACATGGTTGGCGGCATCCAGTTTCGGATTTGCCTGTCACTGTGGCCAGCCACAGGGCGCCTACGCATACGGAGGGACCATGGATGGCTTGCGCTGCACCACCCACAGCTCCAACCACACACCGCACATCCAGTGTAAACCCGAAGGATTAAGACCGGGGGGCATGTGGATGGAAGCCACTTTTCATCAACGGAGCCGGCCCACACTCCTTCACAGGCAAAACACAAGCACGCTGTATTTGGGAAATCAAGCGCACACAAGGCGGTGGCTCGACCGTAGTCCACTCCACACTGAGTGCATCGAACCCCTCTTCGAGCCTAGCATGGCCACAATGGCCGTGCACCCCGTCCCCTCCAGCACTGTCTCCTGGAGCCAGTATGGACGAGGTAGTGGGTGATAGACTGGTAGGCACCTTGTCAACATGCACATCAAGCGTGTCCACACCGGAGATATCAAGCAATAGCCAATCACTTGAAACGATAAAATGAAATAAAATAAATCCAATAATGCATACAGATACGGTGGCATAACTCTTCCCTAAATTACCATATGAAGTAAGTTGGTTAGCAACGATTCTGCGATAAGTAAGAAATGTCCACAACTTACTTAAAAATGCTACAAACGCAACAAAGTTACCGAAGATAAGCGCAATTTGCGTAAGCAACGTGGCCAGTTAATAGATTATTCATATAGGCAGAACAAACCAAATAAGGTGGAATAAAATTTATCCAGCTTAAAAAGACCTAGTTTAAGTGTAAGTTGGTTTAGCCCAACTGCGGTGAAGAAGCATCAAGAATGCAACATCAGTCTCAGCATGGGGCACAAACCTGCCGACATACACGGTTACACACATTCATATATAAACATATGCGACAATCCCATCGTACTGATCACATTTTGTACTCTTAACATGATCACGCCTGTGCAGGCGTGCTTCGCGTAGTCGAGAATAATCGTTTTATTTATTTTATTCCATAAAATATGTGAGCATTTTGCGTTTCGTGGACTCTTGCACTTGGGGTCGCGCCAGTTTGCAATCGGACGCCTTTTCGTTAGAAAGACGTGTTGTAGATTGTTATCACATCCTTATTTGCTTATACCGTGAACAGTATCATAAAGTACTCCTTTGTGAAATCTCACGAGGTGTTACCCGGTGGCGGGTACCTGGATTTGAACTATGCGGATGGCATATTATTTTCCTAATCAAGAGAAGTGGTGCACCTCCAATTCGAAATCCCAGACGCCGGTTTTCTTAATACTGATGCACTCTAGAGTCTGCCAATTGTAAGACTGCCCGATGGACATCTGTGGATAACTCTGGCCGATAATGTCTTATGATCTCCGTAGAAGAACGACTTTCAGTAGATTGAGTTTTAACTAGAGCCGAAGCTGCTAGATGAACCGCAATCTTTTATTGCGGCTCTTATTCCACGGCAAATATCTATCCGGAGATCAACAATTCACTACAAATAATTATCGTCCCCGTCATTGTTATCACTCCACGTTAGCTGAGGGTGAGAAACACACCTCAACTAATGTGCCGCAATCCAAAAAAAGATATGATACTGAAAATTACAGACCACAAAAAGTAGAAAGCAAATAATGTCATGTTAGACACCATATTAGCATTTGGAATGAAATGGTTCTTGGAGGGGGGCTGGAAAATTGAGGGTACTGGCATGAACTCGACACTAACGCCATTAAAGCTGGCTCTTCTTCGCAGAGCTTTCGGGAAGTTTGATCCTTCAGTCTTTCCAAAAGTACTTATTGCGTACGTGAGGGCACACGCGGAATATGCTATTCAAGCGTGGCAACCCTGGCTGAAGCACCAACTCACCGCGCTCGATACTGCACAACATAGGGCAATGAAGAGCGTCAGAGGTTTGACCAGCCTCCCCTACCCACTCAGGCTGAAGACTCTCAAAATATAGAGGGGACGTTACCGGCGTCTAAGGGGCGATCTCATAATGGTGTACCAGATCCTGGGAAACCCAACCACCCATGCCATTCCCTTCTAATACTCAGTCAAAACACCCCGTTAAGAGGTCATCAGTTTAAGCTGGTCACACAGTACAGCCGCCTGGAATGTCGACGAAACTATTTCTGCCTTCGTGTGTCACAGCCTTGGAACGCCCTCCCGGAACATGTAATTAATGCATCCACCCTATCCCTTTTCAAAAAACGCCTTGACGATACCCTGTTACATTTACACTACGTGCTATAGCCCATGACCACCAGATGCTGGCACTAATGCACAACAGGCAGTAGACAGTGCCATAACCCTACTCGATAATGAGTCACTGCAAACCCCTTGCACACAATTTGATAAACGCCACTACTATAGAAACTGGATTGCTGTATCCCGTCAACCCGAGATAGCTACACACGAGCAAGCGTTATCCTTACTATTTTTTATTTTTTCTCGCTTATTACGCGATCTATAACCACTCCCCTTATTGCTTTGTGTGCGCACATTCTCATTTCAAACTCCCTTTATACGACAGTGCAGTTACATCTGTAAGCGCTCAAACTGACGACTCCATTATCTCTTGATCTAACTTTTCTCACTCTAAGCATCCTACGGGACATGTCAAACACCTGCTTTTTTGCCCGTTAGAAATCATTATTCATATCAGCCCATGGGTAACGTGGAGCCTCACTGATGCACAAGTTGAAGCGATGGCATTTAAGTCCGTATTTGAGAAATGTTACGGTAGATCAAATCATGGAAGGAATGAATTTGTGCCTTAACATGTCCTATTTCACATTCCAAACTAGATTATACACTCAAGAACTGGGACTTGCTATGGGATCACCAATATCCCCTGTATTGGCAAATTTATGCATGGAAGACTTTGAAATGAGGGCGCTGACTGACTCTTGTAGCTCACTGAAAATTTGGTGGCGCTACGTGGATGACACATTTGTTGTCATAAAACGGGACAACAAAGGCAAGTTTCTAAACCGCTTGAACATTGTTGCGGAGACTATAAATTTTACTATGGAATTGGAAACTGGCAGTGGAATATTGCCATTCCTTGACTGTTTAGTTCACAGGAACTGGGGTAGTCTAAAAACAACAATTTATCGTAACCCGACGGACACATATAGTGTTCTCCACTATAGTTCAGGTCACCCAAAGCATGTGTATGCTGGGATCGCCTCATCTCTATTTCACAGAGCCTAGACCCTGTACACAGAGGAAGAAGATAGGAAGGCCGCCCAGAAAGAAGCAGTGAACCAGTTGCTTTGTAGTGGATACCCGAGGCGGTTAGTGAAACGCCAGTTGCACCGGGTTTTAAATCCTCAACCACGGCGTACTACCGAGTGGATTGGGATGGTAGGTATTCCTTATAAACGTGGAACTACGGAGGCCATCCTGAGGGTCTTCAATAAAGAAAACATAAGGTAATTTTCCAGAATGGCCAGACACTACACTCTATACTAGTGCACTTGAAAGACCCACTTCCCGCAGATAGGACATGCAATTGCATCTCCAAAATTAGTTGCAAATACGCACACGTGTACATCGGCCAAACCGCAAGAGAGCTACGCATAAGGATAGCAGAACACAAGAGACGCGTAATGCGGCCACCGAGAAACGAGTTTGAATATATGTGGCTCTACTAAGGAGCTCGGCAGTAGCGATGCACGCGATAGATACAGGACATGAGATCGACTTGGATAAGGTTACAATCGTTAGAAAGGGGTTGCGATTAACTCCCCAGAGGCTGACTGCTGAGGCGGTTGAGTTTAGCAAAGTGAACAGCTGCGTGAACGGAATGGACGGGGCCGCGTTTTAGAGCTTGTGGCGAGCTGTGTTAACCCGACCGGTCTGAGGAGCGCCGGCTGACGGATCCAGGGCAGAGAATGAACATCACATCATCCCCGCACCCTCGTTAACAGGACTCATGTGTGTGACCTTGTAACGCGGACCACTTGTGACCGTGATGCGTTGACCTGTAACGCGAGTGACCTTTTGCCTACGTTCCATTCGTCGCGATTATCATCCCAGTTTGCTATAAGTGTTATACCAATCCTCGACTGGTTCACTCGGCCTGAGGAAGTTTTTGTGTCAAAAGCGAAATGTTGCCCATAAACTATACAACCGGTTGTTTTCAAACCTTTCTGAAATCATGAGTTCTCGATCGGTTCCAAGTATTTTCATGATGTTACGTTTTGTTGAGCCGAAAATAGTCCACACGGAGCTGGTGTTTGCAGTGTGTGTGTGTGTGATGGGAGTAGTGTCGAGCAAGCAGGTGCGAACCGAACGGTTTCGGCCATTAGCTGCACCAAGCCCCTCTGGTTGGATAACCGCTATCGATTGTTGACCA